TAAACCCGGGAGGTGGAGGTTGCGGTGAGCCAAGATCGCACCATTGCACTCCAGCCTGGGTGACAACAGGGGAACTCTGTCTAAAAAAAATAAAATAAAATTTTATATATTTTTATATATATATGTGTGTGTGTGTGTGTGTATATATATATGCATATTTATAAATCATTGAGACCACTGCCCTGTCCCTGACTTGCTCTGTGACACTAAGTTTCTTCAGTCTCTGGGCTGAGCTAAGAAGTCATGATGGTGCACTCAGGCCTGGGCAGAGGGCAGTCTAGGATAGGAAGTGGGCTTGGCTATGGATCTGCCTCCCCCTCACCTTTCCAATCCTGCGTGCCAGGTCCTTCCCCAAGACCTTGCATGTATTATCTCTCTCATTCCGTCCCCACTGCAAAATCCTTTGTCCCCATTTTGCAACCTCAAGTGCAGACCTAGGCCTAGAAGATCAACTTGGTAGAGGTGAGCATATCAGTGGGCCTAGATGTCCACATCCACACCCATTCCACAGCCTACTCCCTTCTCCCTTCCTAAAGTTAGTGCAAGGCCACCCTGAGCAAGGCTGACTCCTGGGCAGGCCAGGGCACCAGCGTCTGGGAGGCCTCCAGAAATAGCTCAGGGCCTGGTGTGGCTCTGGAGGCAGCCCAGCTGGGTGTCTCTGACCTGGACAGCTGGGCTGAAATTGAGCTGGGGCTGTCCTGCTGGCTGGCCCCTTGCCACTGCCTGGAGCCTTCCTGATCTCCTCTGGGGCAAGCAAGGGCCTCCCCAAATCTAGGCCAGGCTTCGGCTGAAGGGAAAGAAAGAAGCAGGTGGAAGGAAGGGGGCGGGTTGGGTGTAGAATGCCATGAAAATTATAACCTTTGGAAACCACACCTCCCACCCCCTCACCAAAGAATAAAAATCACTGACACCTCTTGAGCAGTTACTGTGTTCCAAGTACTTTACAAGTATGAACTCATTTAATTCCCTCGACTCTGTGATGTAAGGTAATTACTGCTGTTCTTATTTCCATCTTGCAGAGGGGAGACTGAGCACAAGAGAGGTTTAATAATTTGCATAAGATAACCTAGAGGTGGAATTTGAACTCAGAGAGTCTGGCTCTAAATTTTACATTTTTTAGGGGGGTGGGGTGGGGCGGTGAGTGAATTAAAATGTATATAAAATAAAATTTACCATTGTCACCACTTTTAAGTACACAGTTCGGTGGCATTAAGTACATTCACACTGTTGTACAACCATCACCACCATCCATCTTCAGAATGTTTGCATCTTCCCAAACTGAAACTCAATACTCAATAAACAGTTCCCCATTGCCTCTCCCTCTAGTGCCTGGCAATCACCGTTCTACTTTCTGTTTGAGTGAATTTGACCACTTTGGGTACCTCTAGGTATTATAAATGGAATGATACGGTATTTGTCTCGTTGATTCTGGCTTATTTCACTTAGCATAATGCCTTCAAGTTTCACCCATGTTGTTGTATGTGTTAGAATTTCCTTTTCAAGGCTGAATAATATTCTATTCTAATATTCTATGTATATGCTACCTTCTGTTTATCCATTCATCCCTTGATGGACACTTGGATTGCTTTTGGCTGTTGTGACTAATGCTGCTTTGAGCATGGATGTACAAATATCTGTTTGAGTTCCTGCTTTTAATTGTTTTGGGTATACACCCAGAAATGGAATTGCTGGGTGATCCTATGGTAATTCTGTTTAATTTTTTGAGGAACTACTTTACTGCATTTCACAGTGACTGCACCATTTTATGTGTCCATCAGCAGTGCACAAAGCACTAATTTCTCAACATCTTCACCAACACTTGTTATTTTCTGTTTCTTTCTTTTTTTTTTTTTTTTGGTAATGTCCATCTTCAGGGGTGTGATGTGGTATCTCATTGTGGTTTTAATTTACATTCCCGTAATGACTAGTGGTGTTGAGCATCTTTTCCTGTGCCTAATGGCCATTTGTATATCTTTGGAGAAATGTCTATTCAAGTGACAAGTGAGTCTGCATTCTTTTTTTTTTTGAGACAGAGTTTCTGTCACCCAGGCTGGAGTGCAGTGGTGCCATCTCAACTCACTGCAACCTCTGTGTCCCTGGTTCAAGTGATTCTCCTGCTTCAGCCTCCCGAGTAGCTGGGATTACAGGCACCTGCCACCATGCCGGGCTAATTTTCGTATTTTTAGTAGAGACGAGGTTTCACCATCTTGGCCAGTCTGGTCTTGAACTCCTAACCTCGTGATCCACCTGCCTTGGCCTCCCAAAGTTCTGGGATTACAGGTGTGAGCCACCGTACCCAGCTATGACTCTGCATTCTTAACTATTACCTGTGCTTCTCTTAGATTTGTAACCTCTGAGAATAGTGGATCAGCATTCTGGGCTGATGAAGGCCTCCCTTCATTCTGGGCTGATGAAGGAGCCGGGCACTGAATGATCTAGTTGGTTGAATAGTTATCATAGCCCGCCCTTTGGTGGCGTTTCTCATACATGGGCCTCATGCAGAGAGGGAGGCACGGTTGTGAGTCCTGTTTTGCAGTTAGGGAAACTGAGATATGGAGACATTGAGTATTTTATCCGAGGTCTTATAGCTAATCATTGGTGGAGCTGGGATTTCAATGGGTTCTGGAGTCCATGCTATACCTTACAGATATGGCCAGGGGGATGGAGTGGCAAAGACCACTGCAGGCAGCAGAACCAGTGTGTGCAGAGGTTTGTATATGGTGGCTTTGGAGAAAGAACAGGACTTGGGTAGAAGTGGTCAGAGCCCAGCTTGAATGGTGGTGACTTGAAGTTGGAGGAAGAGTAGGACAGGTCTGGAAAGGCCAGGAGCAGGGTCAGGGTTTGGAGAGGAGGCTTGGTGCTTAGGGACCCTGGCCTTTTTTTTTCTTCTCACAAGATATTTATTAATTACAAACGGAAAATAGTAACTGTACAGTGGAGAAATTTGGCACATATTGCCTTAACCAAGGAATTGGCTGATCACTAAGATTAAGACAAACTGTTGTTATGAGTGGGTGTGGTAATGTACCTATAGTCCCAGCCACTCAGGAGGCTGAGGTGGGAGGATTGCTTGAGCCCACCTATTTGAGGCTGCAGTGAGCTATGGAGTGCACTCCAACCTGAGCAACACAGTGAGACCTCATCTCTTAAAAAAAGAAAAAAGAAGCCTCCTGACACCATGTACTGAGAAGGACACAACATCACTTTTGTGTTATTCTTGATAGATATGTATAACTTTCTCTCCTTTCTTTCTTCCTCTCTCTTTCTTTCTTTCTTTCTTTCTTTCTCTCTCTCTCTCTCTCTTTCTTTCTTTCTTTCTTTCTTTCTTTCTTTCTTTCTTTCTTTCTTTCTTTCTTTCTTATTGATATAAGAAAAAGCTTTATACATTTAATGTATACCTCTTGATGAGTGGCCTTGGCCTTTGAGGTGGCCTGGGTCCAGTCCAGCTAGTTGTTCAATGGTATTTCCTCTTTGTTTGGTCCCTGGAGGAAGAAAATTGGAAGGGTGTGATGGAGCTCCTGGTCCAGTGGGAGAGATAAGGAAACGAATTATATTTCCTATCCTAGATAAAAAAGTATCTAAAATGACAGGATGTAATGAGTGCTCGGAAGGGAATAAAATGGGTGAAAAAGCTGACACCCCCTCTTGGGGGGTCTCTTGGAGGAGATGGCATTTGAAGTGAGATCTGAAGGGGGTGAGGGAAGAGAGTCCAGGCAGAGAACAGCTGGTGCAAAAGCCCTGAGGCAGGAAAGACCTTGTGTTCAGGAACAGCAGGGAGGGCTTTGTGGCCAGAGCAGGAAAGAGGTTGCAGATAACATGGGAGATTTGGACAAGGACTGAGTCCTGGAAGGCCTGAGGGCCAAGTAAGCAGCTTGGATTTTTTTTTTTTTTTTTTTTTTTTTTTTGAGACGGAGTCTCGCTCTATCACCCAGGCTGGAGTGCAGTGGTGCGATCTCAGCTCATTGCAGGGAGTTTGGATTTTATTGTTAAGGGAGCCACAGGAGGGTTTAAACACAGCAGTAATGAGACCTTATTTCTGCTGGGAAAACATTGCCATTATTGCCCCCATTTTACAGCAGAGGAAACCGAGACTTAGAACCATAACCAGGGAGTGCTTCCTAAGGTGGCTTCTCCCTCTGGGGTCCAGCCGACGAGGCAGTAGATTATTCAGGAGTTCCTTGCGGGGCACATCTGGTAAGTGGCCAAAGCCCAACACAGAAAACACTGTCTCTTTCACCTCGCCTCCCCAGATGTGAGCCTAGGTTCCAATCCTGGCTCTACCATTAATCAACTGTGGAATTTTGGGCAAGTGGCCTTACCTCTTGGAGCCTCAGTTTTCTCATCTGAAAATTGGCATAATGATAGTAGACCTCACAGAGTAGGTGTGAGGATTAAATGAGTTAACATTTTGTAAAGAGCTTAAAATGGTGTCTAGTACAAAGAAAGTGCTCAGATGAGATTTGTTCTTTTCTTTTTTGGCTGTAAATTTATTCAATGCAAAATAATCCTCTCCAATTTTACTGAGGTGGCTGTTAAGATCCGCCTCAGATCCACAACCAGATCCGCCTCTAAATTGGAATTTGGTTGCTGACCCAGCCCCAGCTTCGGCTGTCTTGTCAGCACCAGGGGGCACAGAACACTGTCTGTAGGTGTCTCTGTCGGCTTCCTCTCTTGTGAGTCTTGCAGGTCGCTCACCCTCCAGACCTTTAGGCCGAGGCCTGCCAGTCTCTGGACGGCTGCGGCGTAGGGTGGCAGGAACAATCTCTGGGGGCAGATGAAGGTAATCATGGAGATACTGGATGCCCTCATTGGTAAGGTACCAGTAGAAATGTCTCCAGGCAAACTCTTCCTTCACGTAGCCTCGGGACTTGAGAGACTGCATGGCCTTCATGACATGAAGGTTGGGCACATTCTTGTCTGCCAGCTCCGGGTGCTTAGGCATGTGGACATCCTTCTTGGCCACCATGACTCCCTCCTTAAAAAGGAGTTCATAAATGGCAATCGGTTCTTCTTACGCATCAGCATCTTGGCAGCTGTAAGGTCCGGTGCTGGGGCTAGAAAGAAGGACTGTTCTTTTCTATTATGAAAATAATTATTGTTGCCTTGCTGTTACTACTATTAGTGCCTGAAGGAGCCTTCCCTCCCCATCCTCCATTTCTGCCTCAGTGGAGGGCTAGGTAGGGCTCAGCAGGCCATTTGGAGGATGATGGATTGTTGCCCCATTCCCTGTAAAATCAGGGACTGGAGGAGGCCGCAGTGCTGAGGGGGAGGGATAGCTGATGTGAGTCACTGCCGGCCTCCTCATGCCCTACACCCTGGTGCTGGCCCAGCTGCCACAGGCACAGACATGGGACAGGAGCCTCTTCAGCCTGAGCGGGGCGGAGGGCTGAGGCTGAGGCCTGGGAGACAGCTCCTTCTCTGCGCCTCAGGATTCCTGTGAAAAAATGGCCTATCAGATGTGCCTACCTGAAGTGAGTTATAGGACTTGGGCTGGAAGAGGTGACAGCCACTACCCTCTGGGAATTCCTTCCTGCAGGGGTGCAGTCTCATGGGATAAAATGAGGGGGCTCTGGGGGGTTAAATGAGTATGGTGTCTAGCACCCAAAAATTCTAGTTATTGTTGTTACTATGACGGCTGTTGTTAGCGATGTTAACAGTTTTTCACAAGGCTGCTAAGGCATCCTCAGACTCAGCCTGTTCCAGATGGATGGGCTCTACATGTGACGGAATGGAGCACCAGGAGGGTCCCGCAGCTTGCTCAGGGACACACAGCTATAAAGTGGTGGCGTTAAGGCTTGGTCTGGAGGGAAAGTGCGCAGGCTGGACTCCCCAGAGTGATTTTGGGCTAGTGACTCAGCCTCTCCCAGCCTCAGTTTACCATTAGTCAAATGGGGTAACAATAGAACTCACCAGATAGCGATTGTTGGGAAGATTAAAATGGGTTACCTGACACCAAGAAAAACACTTTTCCCGTGCCTGGCACAGTGAACATTACCTTTCGGTCCTTCTGAGTGTCAGGGAAGGGGGCTCAGTTTGTCCGTCTCTAAGATGGGTGCGCTTGCCTGCCTTAGCCACCGGGACTCCGCGCGCCAGGTGTGCGGTGGGCGGGTCTCGGCTCCCGGAAGAACGTCCCTGGGTGGTCCTGGAGCCGGTCGGACCCGGTTACTGAGCCAGGCCAGCTGCCAGCGGCCGGGGCTCGGGTTCCGGCCGCTGCCTGGCTTTCCTTACCCTTTTCGGGTAATACCTGGACCGGCGGGTTCATTTGCCTGCAGCCGCCGGAAGTTGCGCAAACTCAGGTTGCCGGAGCCCCAGGTGGGCCGGGCCGGAGGAGCTCAGGCCAGCGGCGCGGGCGCAGCCAGGTACGTGCGGACCTGCGTCGGGGGCGCCCAGCCTGAGGTAGGGGGCGGCCCGAGTACCCCTCCACCCCGGGACGGCGGAAACGGGGCAGGGATCTACCTTTCGGCTTCAAGAGGACCGCGGGGATCGTGCCGCTCGCTCCCTCATTTGAGATCCAGGCCAACTCGGACTCAGAGGGGCGGCGAGTGGCAAGGGTCACACAGCGCCCTGCTAACCGTCCCCCCATCTCCCGCCACCGGGATTCCTCAAGCTTGCCCGGAATTGAGGGAGAGCAAAAGCCAGACTGGGGATCTGAGTTTCCCCTAGTCTTGCCCCGCGGCCTCTGGAGGCTGACGCCGGGGAGCTGATGGGGAGGGGACGAGGTGGGGATGCGTGCCACGGTGATGCAAACCAGAAGGGCCGGCGGTTGGGGGCATTCATAGGAGGCATTTGAATCCGTGGGTGGGGCATTGGGCGGTGAGAGGAGGCCTCAGAGGGGACCTTGAGTCCCGCTTGGGGACTTGGGACCCTGGCTTCATCTGGCAGGAGCCGCTGCACCTCCGTTTGCCCACCCGTGACATGGGGCTGTTGAGGTGAGCACACTGATCAGCCTGTCTTGGGCCTGCTTTGTCAGCGGTGTGGGCTGGGACAGACCCTCGTGGGGTTTGCTTAGAGACCCCTCCGTGGGGGTGGTCTGTGGACTTGGGTAGTCAAAATCTTCTTAAAGACCAGTAGCCTGGTTCGTGGCTCCGCCTTTTTGCCGGATGCTGAGGAAAGCCCTCGACCTGTTTGATCTCCATCCTTATCATGACCTGGAGGCTCAGGAAGGTCTATTTTTAACCTCATTTCACGGAGAAGGTAACCGAGTCTGTAAAGAGGCGAAGCTGCTTGCGCAAGGCGCACAGCGAGCGGGTGGGCGAACCGAAGGCCGGTAGACCCGCGGCGCCAAATCCGGGGTTGGCTCTCGCATCTGTCCCAGCCCCGCCAGAGGGGACACCAGGGCCAGCAGATCGGGCCGCAGGGACTGGGGGCCCGATCGGGGTCGTGCATGGGGCTTCTGCCCCGGCCCCGCCCGTCTGACCTCCTTCTCCCTCTTTATCCGGATGGTGCCCGCGAGGGAACTGCCACTGTGGACGGGTTGGACTGGTTTGGGAGGTGGCAGCCTGGGGGTGGGGCAGAGTTTGGCTGCCTCTACTATGCTCCTTTCCTGTCAGGTCCTTCCCACCTGAGGTCTCCTGGGGGTCGGCCCTGGTGGAGCAAGGCTTCCTTTCCCATCCACTCCATCTCTCCTGCCTTGGGAGCAGCACCCAAGGTTCTATTCCCAACTTATCGCTGCTGCAGAGGTCTCCAGCTGGTGGTTGGGGGCCAGATGGAGGAGGGGACAGATATGTTTGCAGACATATTTTGTTTGCTGCACATGCAATGTTTTAATCATTATTATTGAACATGCGAACAGTTTTAAGAATCTAGAGTTTTTATGTAAGTCTGGATTTCCAGCTTCCTGGAACAATACACCTACCACCTTGGACCCCTATACCTGCAGCAGGCAGGGTACCTAGATGTCTCTAGTTCATCTCTGATCACCCAGTTCACATCTGGCTCCCATAAATATTTCAGTTCAGTAAATATTTATTGAATATTTTGCCTTAGTATGTGTCTAGGGCAATATCTTGAAACTGGGGTATAGTGAACAAAATAGCCACCCTCACCTGCCCCCCCCCCCCACACACCCCTGCCCTCATGGAGCTGATATTTTAGGGGGACAGGGACAACAAAGAATAAAACACCCTACACAAATAGAGTACTTGTGCAGGGAATAAGGAGAAAAGGAATAGTACGGGGAGGGGGTCAGGAGCGCAGGGGAGAAACAGGATGTGGTATTGAAATCAGTGCCTTATTTATCTACTCTGGGACCTGGGAAAGTCAGTTCTCTCAATCTCAGTTTCTCCATCTGCACAATGACCCACAGGCTTGTGGGAGGTTATAGGGAGGATGGCACCCAGCAGGGATCCCTGCCTCCCCACCCTGATCCAGACTCGCTCCCCCCTGGATTTTTGGATGTCTAGGTGGGGCTGTCCAATGTAGCTTCCTACCATGGATGGAAATGCTCTACTCTGTGCTGCCAAGTACAGTGACAACTGGTCACATGTGGCTACTGAGAACTTGAAATGCCACTAGTGTGGCTCAGGAACAGAATTTTATGTTTTTATTTCATTTAAATTTAAAGTTAAGGTTGAATAGCCATATGTGGCTGGTGGCTATTGAGCTGGACAGCACAGGTCTAAATGGCTTGAACTGCATGTCCTCTTGGGGAACACCTAGATTAAGTACCCGCCCCCGTCTGTTTTACAAATGAGAATGTTTAGGACTTGGTGTATGGGTTTTCTTCTGCCCCATCACCAAGGGGACTTGTGGGGTGACTCTGTGGGCTTGACCCTTCCTTGGAAACAGGGTCAGGGTTGGCTTGATGCCTGGGACATCAGGCTCTGACACTTGGGTGACGACATGGACACTTGTGCATCCAAGTGTATGCCCTCCTCCTAGGTGAGTGCCCATTCCATGGCTGCAGGCAGATCAAGGGTCTGCCGGATGCCTCCATGCAGGGCTGTGTGATTTGGGACATTTCCAGCTTCTCTCAGCACAGCATAGCTCAGGGCTGACGTTTCCACGTGACAGGCATTTGTGGATCACCGTGGACCATCCAGTTCTATGCTGGAAGCTGACGGATGTATGGACTCCACTGGAGCGGGGGTGGAGATTTTCTTTGCTCCTTCCCTATAAGCTCTGCCCTTTGCCTGGGGCCTGGCATGTCTAGGCGGGTGGATGGCACAGGGAAGCTTCCTGCCTGGATGGGTGAGGGGTAGAGGTGGTACCAGGCTCCCTTTGGGAAGTCCAGATGGGGTGTGGGGCTGGAGCCCTTTTTCTTGGTCATTTAACCCTACACCCCTGTGGCAGCACCTTCCTTCTTGGTGGTAAGGGGCAGAGCTGGGTTAACTTAAGCAAGTTGGTTGCCTCTCTGGGCTTCAGTTTCTCCATCCAAAAAATGGGGCTGTTGAGAGGACCTGAGGTTGAGTTGACTGGTGCGTAGCACAGAGCCTGGAGCCTCCCTTGCTCCCTTTAGCGCTTGCCTTGCTCTGTCTTTTCTGCCCAGGTTGCCCAGGTCTTTCTTCTCTAGCACCTTTTTACTTCTCTTGGCCTCAGCTGGGCCTGGTTCCCCCAGGGCAGGAGGGAGGGGGTGTGGGTGGGGCCTGAGGCCCCGCAGCTGTTGCCTTCTGCCTGCTGATTGGCTCCTTATGGAGGGGCGTGGTCTCTACTTTATAATAGGGAAGGCGTCTTACCCTCTCTCAGCGGTGGCTGAACCTCTTTGTCTGAGCGCTCTCGGCTTTTTTTTTTTTTCTCTCTCCTTCACTGCAGCAGTTGCCGGTGTTCATCTACCTACTTTCTGCCTGGATCTCTGGCTCCTCATTTCTCCAGTCTCCTCAGACCAAAGCCCTCGGGATATGCAGCAGCCATGCCTGTGGACACGCTGAGCCCTGGATCCCCGGCCGCCCCCGCCCTACCTTGCCGCCTTCGGACCAAGGTCCCTGGCTACCTGCTACGGAGGCCGGCAGATGGTGGAGTTCGGAAACCGAGTGCTGTGGAGCGCCTGGAGGCCGACAAGGCCAAGTATGTCAAGAGCCTGCATGTGGCCAACACCCGCCAGGAACCTGTGCAGCCCCTGCTGTCCAAACAGCCACTTTTTAGCCCTGAGACTCGCCGCACAGTGCTCACGCCCAGCCGCCGAGCCCTGCCTGGCCCCTGCCGACGGCCCCAGCTGGACCTGGACATCCTCAGCAGCCTCATCAACTTGTGTGATAGTCCCGTGTCCCCTGCCGAGGCCAGCCGTACTCCTGGACGGGCAGAGGGAGCCGGCCAGCCTCCCCCAGCCACCCCTCCACGACCGCCGCCCAGTACCTCTGCGGTCCGCCGAGTGGACGTCCGCCCCCTGCCTGCCTCGCCAGCCCGGCTCTGCCCATCACCGGGTCCTGCCGCCGCCTCCAGCCCAGCCCGGCCACCGGGTTTGCAACGCTCTAAGTCGGACTTGAGCGAGCGCTTTTCTAGGGCAGCTGCTGACCTTGAGCGCTTTTTTAACTTCTGCGGCCTGGACCCGGAGGAGGCAAGAGGGCTGGGTGTGGCCCACCTGGCACGGGCCAGCTCGGATATCGTGTCCTTGGCAGGGCCCAGTGCTGGGCCGGGCAGCTCTGAAGGGGGCTGCTCCCGCCGCAGCTCTGTTACTGTTGAGGAGCGGGCCCGGGAGCGCGTTCCCTATGGCGTGTCGGTGGTGGAGCGCAATGCCCGCGTGATCAAGTGGCTGTATGGGTTAAGGCAGGCACGGGAGAGCCCAGCAGCTGAAGGCTAAACACCACTGGGGAATTTGCCACAGGACAGATCTTACAGAGGCAAGTGGTCCCTGGACCTCTCTTGCATCCATTCTCTGGATGGCCATGTCAGAGGCTCCACCCTGGTGTGAACTTGGTGTGGAGGCAAAGGCTTAGAGGCTGGACCAGCATTCTTGGGCAAAGACTGACTCTTGGAGGGTTTTGCTCTTGGCTTTGGACACTTGAGAACCCCCCTCCCCCCATCCCAATACAAGGTTTTTGACATGAGTGTACTCCTGCTTAGTTCCTCTTGTGGGCCTGCATTTGGGGTGCTTTGCCCTCCCCACTGAGAGTGAGGGGCCAAGGGATCTCCTCAATCTTGTCTCCCCAGCGGCTCTGTTTCCTCCTTCCTTCCTTGGCCTCTGTCATTTGCTGACTTCCTCTTCCTTACCCAGCGGAACTCACCCTGGGGTCAGGGCAGTGGGGAGGGGCCTATCCACTGCTCTTCCTAGTCCTTGGCAGCTGGCCTAGGTGGGCAGACTATAGGAGGGACTGGTTAGGAGTCTGCATTGCTTTGACTTCCCTCCCCTTGGTTAATAAACACTTGTTTCTCGAGGGCTGGGCCTTCAGACTCTTCTGTGTTCACAAGAGAAGGGGTAAGAGAAGTCTTGGGGTGGGGCCATCAAAACAGTAATTGTTTACCCCGAGATCTAGTGGTGGGGCATGATGATAGCAGCTGGCCTGGCTGGAGACATGTCCCCGCGATGGGTTCTCATAACTCTCCTGGAAGGCTGGCAGGCCTGCTTCATCAAGGAGGAAACTGAGGTCCAGCCACGAGTGGGCTGGAATAGAGCTGGGAGTGGGAATGGGGTCTTTCCCCTGCACCAGGAAGGGAGCCTGCAGGGGAAAGGCCGATGGGGTGCATAGACTTTCCCCAGCCATGAGTGTTCCATCCTCATCCAAGCCCTGCCCAGTTCCCAAGGGGGCAGGAAGCTTGGAGAGGGTAAACCCTGAACTTGAGGTCGCACAGACCATAGTGAGGATGGGAAATGGGAGTTTTTGGAGGATGAGAGACTTGGGGTGGACGGCACAAAATGAGTGGCCTTGCCTGGTGATCTTGGACAAGCCAGTCTCCCTCTGGGCCTCAGTGGGAGAGTTAGGCAGCACAGTCCTCCTTGGGTTGGGGCACTGGTGCATTCTGGGCCTTTCATGCTATATTCCAATATCTGGGGAGAGGGGAAGGAAGGGGCTGGCACTGGGCTTTGAGGCCTCAGCTTCTTCCAGTCTCCCTCCAGGTCAGTTACCTACTAGGAGACCCCACCTTGGCTAGTGGAGCAGCTAGGGCTAGGGCTGGGCTTACAAAGGGCAAAAGTGGTGGTGGCCTCTCTGGTGCCCCACAGTGGGAGTGGAGAGGGGGTGGGTGGCGCTTCCTTTCACAGGCTGCCTTGGCTACAGCACTCAGAAACAGGAAGCTCTAATGGGGGCCCTGGTGACAGGTTTGATGTAGGTTTTATTTTAAGCATAAAGAGGAGATTTCCGTTGGACTGTTGACAAACATCCAGGTCAGCCCAGCTGTCCATCTCTCTGTCTGTCTGCCTGTCTACAACTAGCCCCCAGGGGCCTGGGATGGGCCTGGGCAGTTTGGTGAAAGAAGGGAAAATTGGGTTCTAGAAGAGGATGGTGTTTCAGCTCACGAGACTGGAGCTTGTGATACAGGTGGGGAGACAAGCATGAGGAGGGTGGTGACCTACCCACAACCCCCCGTGTTGCCCAGCAGTTTTGACAGTGCAGGAGCTGGGCCTCCAGGATCCCCATGCTGAAGGAGTGATGGTGTCAGGAGAGAGAATCCAGGCAGGATTTGCAGACGTGGTGCCCTTTGAGGTGTCAAAGACTAGATTTCCTGGACACCTCTGCTAGAATTCAGGGCTAGTCATTGCCCCTTGCTGTGACCTGGCAGCCTCCGAGTAACGCAAGAAGGTGGATGGGCTGGCTGCATTTTACATGTGAAGAAATTGAGGTTCAGGTCACAGGACTGGTGGGTGACACCTTGTTTCTGAAGGAGGGTTCAGTGCTTGAATCCTCAAGGTAGCCATCTGAGGACTAGAATTCTTGTCAGAGCAGGATGCTGAGCTCAGGGAAGGATAGCGACTTGTAGACTGTCACATAGCAGGTCTGCAGGACAGCCTGGGGTCACACTCTTGCCTGCCAGACACATCGCAGTCTGTATTCCTGGTTCTCCCAACACATACCCCACCACTCTTTCTCATCTTGGCAGCCTTCTGGTCACTTTATTACTGAGAATCTACTGGGTGCCCAGCAGTGGATAAGACAGACATGGCCCCTGTCCTAGTCTGGAGAAGAGAATGGGCAACTAAACATTCAGCACATAAATCATCATAGAATGTAAAGCAGGTATACTCAGGGACTTCTGCCCTAAACCAGAGCTGTTCCCAGGAGCTAGACCAGAGAATAGCGGCAAAGAGAATGCCTTTCCATAAATCCACTGGGAGGGTCTGTTGGGGAGAGAGCAAGGAGGGATTCTTAGAAGTGGGGAAGGTGCCAGATTGAGTCTTGACTTCTCCAATGGTTATGGCTTGGTCTTGGGAGGGCTCCCCCTGTTTCGGGATTCTGGAGCCTCCCGCCTTCCCTGCAGGCCTCTGTGGAGGGAGCAGGGCGGGAGGGCTTTTGCCCTCCTCCCTCCCACAACCCTGCAGCCTCGGGGATCTGTGGAAACAGCCCCTCTATTGTTCTGCCTCCAGTTGGAGTGTGAGCCCTCGGAGGGCCTGCAGCTGCTGCCCTGTCTCCTGGGGCTGCCCAGCCTCCGAAGCAGCTCCCCCAGGCCAGCCTGGCCCCAGCTGCCTAGCCCCTAATTAGGCAGAGATGAGATCTGCTCCCTGATCCATTTCCCACCAGCTAATTATATACACGTGGATTTGGGAACCAGGCAACCTGGCTGCTCACTTCTATCATGAAGGTAGATGGGCCCTGGGAAAGGCAGCCCCCCACGGACCTCAGTTTACCCTTTTGGCAGAGGGTGGAGTGTAGCTGCAGAGGCCTGTTCCTGTCCTTGGTTAAACAGTTCTGTTCCTGCTACCGAAACATTCAAGGAGACCCCCCATCTTACCTGATAATCCTGTGTACAGGGGACCAGGAAAGGGCTGAGGAATTTGGCTATAGGAATTCCTTGACTCTAGGACCCCAGGGTAGGGTGGGGATATAGGTGAGAGCACGGCTGCAGCTGGCCGCCAATTAGATGTGCATATAGGAGGGCTTACAGTTGTGCTGGTCCCCTATCCAGGCTGGTCAATCCGGGTGGGCTGAACACCTGGCCGGGTGCGGTGGCTCACGCCTGTAATCCCAGCACTTTGGGAGGCCAAGGCGGGTGGATCACTTGAGGTCAGGAGTTTGAGGCCAACCTGGACAACGTGGCAAAATCCCATCTCCACTAAAAATATAAAAATTAGCCAGGCATGGTAGCGGACACTTATAATCCCAGCTACCTGGGAGGTTGAGGCATGAGATTCGCTTGAACCCTGGAGGTGGAGGTTGCAGTGAACCAAGATTGCACCACTGCACCCCAGCCTAGGTTACAAAGCAAGACTCCCTCTCAAAAAAAAAAAAGGAGTGAACACCCCATTCAGGTTTTTAGAAAGGTAATATTGGTTGATGGGTGCAGCAAAGCAAACCACCAAGGCACATATACACCTATGCAACAAACCTGCACATTCTGTACTGTATCTCAGAACTTAAAGTATAATACAAATTAAAAAAAGGTAATATTATTTTTCAGATAATTCACTCATACATTTCTTCCAACATTTTCTTAAGAAAAATTTCCAACATAGAGTTGAAAGAATTATACAGTGAACATTCATATACCTGCCTATTAAAGCACACTTGTTAATATTTCACTATATTTGCTCTGTCAGGAATCTACCCATCTCTCCATCCATTAATACAACTTACTTTTTAATAAAGCTTTTCAAAGTTGCAAATATCAGTACACTTCCCTTAAAGTACTTTAGTATGCATGCCAGTAGCTAGAATTCAATATTTGTTTGTTCTGTTCCTCTGGAGGTAAGGTTTACGTGGAATGAAATGCACAGATCTTAAAGGTACCGTTTGCTGAATTTAGACAAATGCATACTGTACCCCAGACCCCTATCAGAGTATCAAGCGTCATTGTCACCTCAGAAAGTTTCCTTGCATCGCTCTCCTGCCAATTCCTGCCTGCCCACCATGGACATATTTTTATATCCATATATTTATTCATTTTTTTTTTTGAGACAGAGTCTCGCTCTGTTGCCCCGGCTGGAGTGCAGTGGTGTGATCTTGGCTCACTGCAACCTCTGCTTCCCAGTTTCAAGCGATTCTCCTGCCTCAGCCACATAAGTAGCTGGGACTACAGGTGCACGCCACCATGCCTGGTTAATTTTTGTATTTTTTGTAGAGATGGGGTTTCGTCATGTTGGCCAGGCTGGTCTTGAATTCCTGACCTCAAGTGATCCACCCACCTTGGCTTCCCACAGTGCTGGGATTACAGGCGGGAGCCACTGTGTTCAGACAATTTTAGGCACATATTGACTGACTTTCTGGTCTGATGTTTTCATAGTGTGGCCTCCACTGCCTGGCTGCCTGGCTTTGGATCCCAGCCCTTCCTCTTTCTGGCTGTATGACCTTGGGCAGTAACTTAACCTCCTCGGGCCTCAGTTTTCTCATTTGTAAAATGAAGGTGATAAGAATAGTGCTTAGGTTATTGAATTGTTGTAAGGATTCAACATGTAAAAGGCTTAGAATAATGAACATCACCCAATGAGTAGTCAAGCTTTTTCTTCTCATAATGATTATTATCAAGAAAGATTTAGCTTTTGGTTCCCCCCTTTCAATTGGCATTTATCACAATTTTTTGTGAAGTGGATTTTAGTGTTATTTATATTAGAACTATATAAATACTGTTTCCTGCGAAGCCTAGTCATATATTTTGGTTACATTTCCTTTCCTATACAACTCTTTGTTCTTCCTGGAGTTACTACTGGCTTTGCTTTTTTTCATTTGCTCAGTTTCCTCTTTTTTTTTTTTTTTTTTGAGACGGAGTCTCGCTCTGTGGCCCAGGCTGGAGTGCAGTGGTCGAATCTCAGCTCACTGCAAGCTCTGCCTCCCGGGTTTACACCATTCTCCTGCCTCAGCCTCCCGAGTAGCTGGGACTACAGACGCCCACCACCTCGCCCGGCTAGTTTTTTGTATTTTTTAGTAGAGACGGGGTTTCACCGTGTTAGCCAGGATGGTCTTGATCTCCTGACCTCAGTTTCCTCTTAACCCATCCTTAATTCTCTTAATTCTTTGACACCTTCAATCTCCCCATAGTTAACATTAAGCATCCTGAAACCCTTCAAGTGTTTTTAAAGAAGCATCCCTGTCCATTTAAAAAAATTGGAGACCATTTTAAAAATAGAATCTCAAATACAGCCTGTAAGATAAGGATTTGTGAGCATCCACTATGTGCCAGGAACTGTGCTGGGCAGAGTAGGAAGGTAGCCAGATAGGTGATATCCCTGCCCGTGTGGGTTTCCAAGAGGGATGAAAACTGAAGCTGCACACCCCCCAGCCTCTGCATTAA